CCTTCTTGCTGCAGGTTTCTGCTGATGGTGGCTCAGTTATTAGTCGTAACAGACCATTTTCCTCTCTACTCTGCATTACAGGCAAGTCTTACAGCTGAGCGGCTGACATGTTTCATCAAAACTGGCTTTATTGCTCCCTTGTTATAGCAGGGGAGTTCTGGAAAGCCACAACTTGGGCATTGTGATTGAGGCATTATTACCCCTGAGTCATCCTTACCTGGGCTTTGGAGTTTCCACGGAGTTGCCCGATTCAGCTTCATGATTTCGTTCTTTGCGTTACGCAAGCTGCTGTGGTGTTTGCCGGTGGTTTCTCTTGGTTCCTCATACTGAGGAGAGAGAAAATGCCATGAAAATAAATACCAGAGTGAGGAGATGAGTCAGTAATTAAACCTGCTGTGTGATTCTGGGGCCGCAGTCCCGGATCTTGAGCTTTAAGGTGAAAACCTTTGTCACTGAGGGTCACAAATGCCTCATTTACACAGTGGCAGCTCTGTGTGTGAAGATATTAGCCGAGGATGTGTCACGCACAGGGAAAACACAGCGGGTAGCTGGGAAGGCAGACCTCTAAAAAGCCTGTTCTGCCCAAATTAGGATCTCTGAAGAAGCAGAGCCTGTGGTGCAAGTGGGGCATAATGGCTTTTGAGGGTCCGTCATGGCTCACTTTGCTCTAGTGCCAGGACTCTGCATCAGCCCAGCTTCATTTGGCAATGTCAGCTTGTTGAGCTTTGACGTCAGCGATGATGTCGCCCACATCCAGCCTTTAGCTGTTACCCATTTCCCCAATAACAGAGGTGTCTGAAATGGGTTCTTGGAGCTGAGTGATGTCCTGGGAGCTGAGAGCATCAGTCATCTGCACTGGAGGGGTTTTCTCTGTGGATCTCCATGGCCTGGAGACAAGGAGTTGTGGTGTGCTCCATGTACCATGGCTCACCGCAGAAAACACAAAGAGGGATTTTCTCGTTTAATCTCTCCGGCTTCTGCCTTCACCATCAAGTTGAAAGAGATTCCTCAAGGTCAAGAGTCAGTGCGGTTCAAGAGTAACACCCCTTTGCAAGCCAGAACAATCAACTGATGTGCACATGGGACACCAAAAATATCTTTAGTGATCTTTAGAGATGGGTTGTGGGAGCTTAACTCCAGACCCCCTGGAGAGGTGTGGGGTGGAGGAAAAGGGAGCAGAAAGGGAAAAGCTGTCATCACTTGGCTGAGTCACCATCCCTTGAGGTATTTAAAAACCGTGTGGTGCTTAGTGACACGGTCTGGTGGTGGACCTGCCAGTTAACGGTTGGACTTAATCATCTTAAAGGTCTTTTCCAACCTAACCAATTCTGTGATTCTATGATCTCTCGGATGAGGGATCCCACCTTGGCTTCTAGCTCAGCTTCGTTCACGCAGGCACAGTCCGTGTCCTGAAGCACGTCGAGGATTTATGAAATAAAAGGGCAAACTGCTTAATGCTAGCAGTTGATTGCAAACTCGTAGGACTGCTTTTTTTTTTTTTCCCCCAAGGATGTAAATTTTACTGTGCTATTACATTGTTTTGGTTTCTCATCCTCTTGGGCAGAAGACAAAGAATCGCTAGATACAGAGAGGAGAAGGGAAAGTTTTGACCAGTTGGGGTATACAAACATCCCACATGAACAACCTCAGCTAAAATGGACTTATTTAATGTGGGATTTGACTCTTTTAATTAAAATCTTCCAACAAGTTGGCCTTTAGGTCCCCCTAGAGTCTCTGGGGAGTGAGAAGTGGTCTCACCCTCTCTTTCTATCATTATCAGCTGCTATTCATACAAAAAACCTGGAATAAATGTTCGAGTTAGTTTGAAATGTTCTCACCTTTTTGAGCACAACAAATTTGGCCGCTGCACGTGTTTGCCAGTGGGTTTCCTCTTCCCACCTACAAGGAAAGGGAAAAAAAAAGAAGATTACTTTTCGTTATTCAGCTCAATGAATCTAATCTTCCTCCACCACCTCCAAATGCTCAACCTCGGTGTAGAAGCCACCTGCTGATGCAAGTTGTATGTATGTACATCTGGAGGAGATCTTGCACCTCGTGCAACCTTTGCCATTGGAAAATTAGATACCCAAGATCAGTTCTAGCCCTAGTTTGGGGGCTTTTATCTTTCCTAAACTTTTCCTTATAATTGTCTGTGATACCTGTTGCGGCGTCAAGTTCTGTTTCCAGCTTGGCTCTGTCTCTTGCAGCTACCTCTTCAAGTTGCCGACGTTGAGTTTCAAACATTGGCTCAGTGTCACTCCTGTAGCGTTTTTCATAGAATCATTGCATGTGTTGGGTTGGAAGGGCCATTTAAAGGCCATCTAGTGCGAACCCCCTGCAGGGAGTGGGGACATCTTTAAATCAGGTTGCTCAGAGCACCATCCAGCCTGACCTTTCCCCGTTTGCTCTCCAGCACCTTGTTCTGCTCCTCCCGGAGCTGGACTTGGAACCCAGAAGTAAAGCGTTCAAAATATAGCGAGACCAGCTTGAAGGGGAGTGTAAGCAGAGGGAGAAGCCCAAGGCAGGAGCAGGAGGCCATGCCTGCGAATTACCCAGCCAGGAACCCTCTGCGATGAGGAGAGGAGCTTTCACCTTTTTATGTCCTGGGAAAATAGGCTTTGGCTGCACAACCCAGACCCAAAAGACCATTTAAAAACACTTTTAAAAGGTTTTTTTTTTGAGGTGAGATTGTCTGATAATATCCCACTCATCTCTCTTTTTTCCTAAATGGTGGCCTCGGCTTCTTTTAAGCTCACACCTCTCATTGAATTACGGGCTGTATTTCTAACTTGAATGGGAGGGAATCCTTGGTCCCATAAAATCTGCATTTGCAAACCTCCCTTTTTTTATAGTAAGCATGAGAGAGAGAAGCAGAACCAATTGTTTGATGTTTGCAGAGGGAAGGAACGTTGCTCTATGTGTGGGAAAAGAAGAACCTGTGTTAAACTCTTAGGAGTATTCTAGGGATCCAAACACCGGGGATGATTTCATTCACCCTCTAACAGAAGGAGCAGCGCTGGCTAGGCTAATTTTATAATTTACTCCTTGCTTCCTTTTGTTTGACCTCTGTAATTTTGTTGGCCTCAAGAAGAATCATTTAATTCCCTCAGGGCTGGAGAGGGACTCATGCAAGGGTATTTCTCGGTGCTAGGGCACTGCTGGTCTCTAACTACAAGCAGAAAACGAATTCAGCAAAGCTGGGGTGAGAGCAGGAGAAAACAGTGAAAGAGGGGGCCAGTTAGCTCAGTCGGTTAGAACATGGTGCTGATAACACCAAGGTCGCGAGTTCGATCACCGTTCAGTCCCCACGTGTTGTCTGATCTAGTTGAGAGGCGTCCTTGCCCATGACAGGGAGGTTGGATTAAATGATCTCTAAGGTCCCTTCCAGCCTAGGCCATTCTGATTTTTCCATCTCCCACCCTTGCACCAGCAAGGTCAAAAGCCAGAAGCAAAGCTTGAGTTGATCTCTGAAGCTACCCGTGTTCTTCTCTCCTCCACTGAATGCCCTGCAGAGGGAGTGTCTTGGTTTTCTCTCATTTTGGGGGAGGCTGTGGCTGGCATTGGTCAGATAGATTGGCACCTCTTGCCTCACTGCTTGCAAACTCTCCTCTATGGGGAATAGCTCGGAGGAGAACTGGGCTTGGTTGTTCTTTTCTAGGGAAATTGTTTGGCAAATCCATGCAAATATAAGTTTGGACTCTAATTTCTTTATCTATCTATGTATTTATTTATTTTTCAGGAAGTGGGCTCAGATTGACAAAAATGCAGGAAAGACAGATAAGTCTCTGCTAGAAAAATAAATAGGTGATTTTTCAGTCCCTTCTTTGCTGAAATATCCAAAGGACTGTGTGCCGTGGGTGGGAACCCTCTGAATTCTGCTGCTCCCAGGAAGAAAACAGCGAGGCCTTAGCCCTAAACATCTCAGCCTTTTCTAAAGGTGCATTTGCTTTTACGTGATTGCTCTTGGCATTTGCCATAGCCCAAGAACACGTTCTGCTCCGTGAAGAGGATCCAAGAGAAGTTCACGCATGCAAGCCTGAGTGCTGGCCTGCTTCCTTTAGCTGCACAACATTTTAGGGCGAAGCTGTGTAGGAGTTGTATGTGCTAAGCGCTTTTTGGAACTCAGCCTAAAAGGAGTTCAGAGAGCTCAGCATCTTTCGTGGCTGGGCCCCGGATGCCGGAGAGCAGCTGCTACATGACATAGTTGGCATCTTCCGCCAAACGGAAGAAGTCACGTTGGCTTCTTTTCTTGCTTTCACTCTCTTGGGTTTCTAATTACAGGCCTGAGAAGAGCTCAGTACCGTGAGCTTGTCTGAGCCAGCCCAGCTTAGATCTGCTGACCCAGCACAAACTTCAGCTCGGGAGCATCTCGCTCTTGTGGGATCGCATCCTTGTTTCACACTTGGCTGACGGATCTATTGGCTGTTCTGGGGAGAGGATGGAGATAAATCCTTTGTGATTCCCCTGTGCAAGGTGCAGGTCTGGAGCAAACCTTTCCTGAAGTTTAGCTCTGATGTGTGGGATCCGTCTTTCCTGGCTTTAAAACACCTTTTAGTGATTTTCTGCAATGCAGACCTCTTCGGCTGACTCCCTAGAGTGCTTTTAGTTCCATGGAGGGAGGTGTTACTGCAGAACGAATCATTTGACCCCAGATTGTCCATTTCTGTCCTTTGGCTGACTCAGATGTAGGTGTTTACAGGCAGGTGAAAGCAGCCCCACCTTCTGGTCTTGCTCCCTTGGTCATGCAATTTGGAAAACCTCCCAAAATCGTCAGGTACAGCTGCTCTGGGAGCCCTGTCTCCAACGTGCTTCATATTCTCCCTCCTCTCTGGGATGGAGAGATGGAGGAGGAGATGGGGAGGCTCAGAGTAGGACAGTGAGTGCCCTTGGCAAATCTTCTAAACCTTGTTCTAAAATTACACTTTTAGGGGAGTTTCGTAATGGCATAGAAAACCCACATTGCTCACGGTTAAGCTTGACTGCGGTTTATTGAAGAAATTTCAAAAAACTCGTGCAGTTCATCAGGAGCAGAAATGAGCTGGTTACATTTTGGCACATAATTTCCCAACCCTCTTTTTCCTCCCTCCTGCTTCCATAAAAAGAGAAGAAGGGGGGAAAAAAGCGAAGAACAAAGCTGTTAAACCAGAGATGTTTTTCCAGGTTATGTAACATTTCTGTTGCCAGAGCCTGCTGTTCCTCCTTTGTGTTTTTCCTGTATTTTTAACCCCTGTCTCTAACTTAAGCTCACTCTGGCTGGTGGAAAGGAGAATGGTTTGCTGCTAAGCCATGATCTAGCAGCCTGTAGGTTATGTGGTCTTTGGGCTTAAATTATACACATGGCGGGGGGTGAGGGATTAGATGTTCTAAAGAACCAACCCCTTTCACCTATGGGAAACGAAGGCTGTGGTTTGGAATGCAGGTAGAGCTGGAGAGCCCTGGAGTGAAACAACAGCCGTGCAAGAGGAATTGGGAAAGAGAGCAGCTGCCTGTACATTGAAAGATGCTTCATTTTCAATTCTTTGAGCCTTTGGGGAGAACAAGCCCAGCAGTGGGGAGCAGGGTTGATTAGGAGGGAGCAGAAGAGGCTGGTCTTGATGCACCTCCTGGCTTCTATCACGTGAAGGGACACGTCCTGACTTCATGTGTGCTGGGGTAAATGGGGGTCCCGCATCTGCTCTGGCTTTGCACCGGGGCACTGGAGCAAAAGGGAGCCCTGGGAAGGTGCAAGCTGAGCTCTGACGATGGCACCCGTGAATGGGAAGGCTGATCACTCCTAATGAGCAGTGCTGGGCTTCTAGCCAGCTGGGTGAGACTATGCAGAGGAATTAATTGGACTTGGAGAGGCATCTCTCCCGAGCCAGTAAGTAGTGCTGAGAATGTTTTCGCTTCAGGAAAGTGACAAGCGTGGCTTTTTGGATGGAGTTAATGGGCTTTGTGCTGGCAACAGGAGGTGTTTCTCAAATTCCTCTGCTCTGGGTGAGCCAGGGGCTGCAATGTCCTAGCTCTGATAGCTCTTCATGGTGGTGCTTTTTGATGCAAACCTCACACTTGAGCTGCTTCCCATGTTGGAGCTGAATCTCCCAGCCAGGCAGCTCCCGTTGCCGGAGCTGACGCCAATTCCCCCCGCGCCAAGCCTGTTGCTAAAGCCTGGTCCTAGCATGTTCCCACCTCCGTAGCTGCTCCCGGATGAGACCACAGCTGCGATAGGAAACCACAGGCACAGGGTTAGTTTGTTTGGAATAGCATGAAGGAATTTCAACAATTAGTTTTGTGCCGTCATGGGTTTTCTTGGACAGTCTGCCGCTGCCTGTGTTTGATAAGAGTCATAGAATGGTTTGGGTTGGAAAGGACCGTAAAGATATCTAGTTCCAACCCCCCCACCATGGGCAGGGACACCTCTTACTAGACCAGGTTGCTCAGAGCCTCATCCAATGTGGCCTGGAAACTTCCAGGGAGAGGCCGTCTTTTTCTCTGGGTTTTTTTTCTTCCTCTCCTGTAGCAGAGCTGGTGCTAGACATCTGGGTCTCCTAGGGATGGCCTCAATGTACAACACCTTTCAAGTTCAGAGCTGGTCAGAGAAAAGCTGCATGAGGCTCCCAGTCCCACAGAGCACTGCAAACCCCCAAGTATACTCTATTTTTGCTGGTAACTACTAGCTGCATAGCTCCTTTTCCTTGTCTTACCCTCAGTTCTAGGTACTTTTAAGGAATAAGCCAATGAATACTCAATCTATTCCTTACGAGCTGGGTTACTTACAAATATTCACTGCACCAACGCCTTCTCCAGAGAGCCTGAAAGAAAGAGAGGCCAGAGAAGCAAGGGCTAGTTATTTAGGACAATTTCAAGCAACAGTTTGGCACCAGGGGTGTTGAATAGCAGAATGGTCTGGGCCAGTAAGGTCTGATGATGAGTGTACAACGGGAATAGAAATAACTGTGTCAGGTAGGGTTGTAAAACACTCCTTTATGGCCCTTCCCTCTCTTGTTGCAAGGTGAACGTGAAAACCTCTGTGGGTGTGGACGTTATTTGGGTTGCAAGGGAGGCCACCCACCTACTCTCCTCGCCCTCCAGCAGCTTCCTGTAGGTCGCGATCTCGATGTCCAGGGCCAGCTTGATGTTCATCAGCTCCTGATACTCGCGGAGCTGCCGGGCCAGGTCAGCCTTGGCTTTCTGCAGAGCATCTTCCAGCTCGGCCAGCTTGGCCTTGGCATCCTTGAGGGCCATCTCCCCACGCTGCTCAGCATCCACAATGGCCGTCTACAAACTGGCACACTGCAAGAAGTGGAAATAGGCCTGATGACTTCTTAATGGGTTTGGACCCCGATTTCCAGGCATCCTTGCAAGGGTACAGCAGGGTAGTGGAGGTGCCCCCATATTTGGAAGGGCCCTGTGCACCATACCTGTTTCTTTACGCAGTCAATTTCCGAGTGGAGCCACTGGATTGTGCGGTTCATCTCCGAAATCTGCATCTTGGTGTTGTGGAGGTCGTCCCCGTGCTGGCCAGCCGTGAGCTGCAGCTCCTCATACTGAGATGGGCAGGGAGATGAGACACCAGGGCACAGTGAGAGCAGGGCAGGAGCTTGGACTCATTGGTAGAGATCAATCCTGCTTTGATCTTCTCTTGACTGAGTCTTCTGTCTCTTTCTGTACCCAATCCAAGCTCTTCCTCATGAGCTTTAGCATATTTCCTTCCTCCCTCTATCTCCTTTTGCTCCTCTGTCTTTCATCAAAAGGATGTTTCCACATGTCTGAGAAACTAAGGGAAATCCTAACCAAAGCAACTTCATTCTACACCCTCCTCCTCTGTATCTCCCTGCTTGCACGCTCCAGTATAAAGTCACCTTTTTCTAGCTCACCTGGTTAATTTTCACATCCTCACCTTGCTCTGGTACCAAGCCTCAGCCTCTGCCCGGCTCCGGTTGGCGATGTCCTCGTACTGGGCTTTGACCTCCGCGATGATGCTGTCCAGGTCCAGGTTTCGGTTGTTGTCCATGGACAAGACCACGGAGGTGTCAGAGATCTGGGTCTGCATCTGAGACAGCTCCTGTAAGTCAAACAAATTAATTCTCAGTCCCAGATGTTTCACTGTTGTGCCCGTCCCAGAGAGGATGTGTGGTAGAGGGGGAGGAATGCAGAGGAACTGCTGCTCCGAACAGCTGCCTCGGGCTGATTCAGCCCGAGGTGCCAGGGAAATAGCAGAACTGGGAAGTTGGGGAGATTCTTACTGCTTCGTAGAGGGCTCGCAGGAAGCTAATCTCCTCGTTCAACACATCCACCTTGGTCCCTAGGTCCACCTTGTTCACGTAGGCAGCATCTGCATCCTGGAACCGTGACAACAGAGGTAGTGAACCTGCATCCTTGTACAAAGTTGTCACTTAATACAGACATTTGAAGACAAAGCAGAACTGAAGACTTTCTTGCCCTCTGTGCCTTTAAATCCAAGATCCATGAGTGAACTGGTTTCTTCCCTCCACCTTTTGGGGGTTTTTTTGTGTGCAGGGATGATGTCCATAGAGCTAATCAATTTTTGACATGTCAGAAGCCACTGAGTTTCCTTTTTTGGGGGGGCCTATGCATGGACAGATACTTTGGACAATTCTTGAAATAGTGGAAGTTTCTTATTGTGTCTCTCCTGCAGGGTGGGATTGGGTACAGAAAGGCTGCAGAAGGGGCAGAGCATCTAGTGGAGTGACTACAAAGTGCTGGATGACCCAGATCTAGTGCCTGGGGGACCAGGACTCATCTGAATTTTGGATGAGGGGCCTGAAACAAGAACGAGCTATTGCCAAGGACTGACACGCTGGCACGGTTGGGTGTTTCTGCTTCAAGGAGGGATGACTACACGTTTTCCCAGTGCTTTGCCCAGCTTGGCACTGCTGGATGAAAAGGGTTATTTGCATTCAAATGCGTTTCGCCTTTAAAAAGTGTGTCCCTTCTTTGTTGTTGGCGCCTCACCTTCTTGAGCAAAACGAAGTCGTTCTCTGCAGTGGTGCGCTTGTTGATCTCCTCTTCGTACCTGTTGGGAAGGGAGGATGAGCGTCCCTTTGTAACTTCCATACTGCAACCCACCCTATCCATCATGGGCGTCTGGAGATCTTTCCTCCATGCCTTCCCCATGGAGAGGAGAGACAAAAGAGTCTGTTCCTGGGACTGTTTGCCACCAGTGCACGGACCTTTGGAGGAAACTGCAAAAATAGCTACGTAACGATGCTATGTCCTTGCGTATGTTGTATGTAGCATTATTAAATATAGATATATATATCACCGATAGAAAGACAGCACCCTTGGGCTAGGTGATGGGAGGAGGCCATCCAGAAAATCTGCAGGCTGTCATGAAAGGCATGAAAGGTTTTGTCCTCCCTGGAGTTCTCACTGTGAATGGGAGCCTTGTGCTCTCTGCGTTTTCTCAGGCCGGGAGGGTTGGGTGGAGCCAGGAGCTGAGCTCATCGCCGGCACGCCTGGGTTAGTCAGAAGAGCTGGGATCTCTGACGCCAGCTCCTGCGGTGGGGTTGGCTGGGGATGGCCGGGGAAGAGGGGGATGATGATCTGGGCAAGGACAGTCAAGGTCTGGATCAGACCTGCTCTTGGGAAAGGATAAATCCCAGCAATAGCCATGGACTGATGCCCAGCTCAAATTAAATTATTAAATGGAGGAGATGAAAGGCAGAAGTTCAAAGGAAGGAGTCGGTGCGGCTAATGAAGCGTTAGCCTTCCGTGACCCTTTCATGAGGGAGGATTTCTTCGTGTCACGAATCTCTTAAAATCATTTCCATTAAGAAAAATCCCAGCCTGCACATAGATTTGTGGGTCCCTAAGCCTTTAACCACATGGAAGAAAGAAATTAATTTGGCATACGTCTAATTTCTAATTGCTGTATGGATTAGGATTTGAGTCAGAAGAGTAAAGCATTAGGAGAAATACTTTGGGATCCACAAAGTTTGAAACAAATAAAGGTAAGAAGAACAAATTCCCGAGAAATGGGGACAGAAGCAGTGACGTCCCTTTGGTAGATGCAGGCATGATGCAAGATGACGGTCCCTGCCCAGCAATGCGTAGGATGTAATTGAGCTTTTGCCCAAAGATTCCCTAATCTGGAGCCGGAAGGAGTGTTTGCCACTTGACGAAATGCAGGGGGCACTAAAGTCTGAACCTCTTCTATGACGTGACCGTTGGTTGTCAAAGGGTTCCTTGCCTGAAGTCATGATGCACCCAGGGGTCTTTTCTCAGCTGGGCAATCTCTGCTGCTGTTTTGCTGCCCCAGACTGTGCTAAATTTAGAAAAGCAATGTCTAATATTAAAACTTCTTCTGTGGACTTGTTATGAGAATGGAAGAAGGGACACCCTCTGGCCCAGCTAGGGTTCACCTCAAGTCAGCCACCTGGAACTTGGCTCTTGGGGCTAAGCTCTGTCCTTTGGGATTTCTTTTGCAGCTGCTGAGGAAGGATATTTATCTCCAGAATGTCATTTGACCCATCCTAAAATGAATTGAAGAAATCTGGATGGCTGATTTGTAGCAGACCCGGAGGTCTTGCGTGGCTGAACTGACACTGGTTTTTTTCACTGTTAAAACACATTTATTTTTTTCTGAAGACACAGAGAAACATAAAAAAAGAAGTCTCAGAGGTGCCTATGTGAGATGATTTCTCCTGCCTAAGGCAGTCGTTTCTGTTCCAGTGCTTCTTCTGGACTAGAGGTAGTGTTGGTAAAGGTGGCAGAAAGTGTCAGACATGTGATGTCCCAAGAAAGGGAGAGCGGAGGGGTTTTGGCAGCACGTGTGTGTCCTCGTTCTGAATTGCAGCTGCGCCTGGCTCTCGCCCCTCGTTTTTCTGGTTCCAGACTGACAATTTAAGCTCCTTACTTATTCAAATCCATTAAGCAGTGGTATCCCTTGTGGGCATGGTAGCAGACACTAACGCCTGACAGTTGTTTTTCCAAAGTGCAAAGAGTTGGGTGAGTGAGGGAACACCTGCCCTCGACAGCCTAAAGAGTTAATGAGCCGAGCTTGAAACCCTCACACAAAATTTCAGTGACTTTCCATGGGGTAGGAGCTAACTCCTGACTTTCAGAAGAGCTAAAACTATCCAATGCATTGATATTATGGGACATTATAATAATTAAAAAATAATAATAAAAGAAAGCCACTTAGGCACACACTTAAAATTTTATCTTTCTTTTTTTAGACAATTTTTCTGTCTTGGAGAGGAACCCACATCAGTAAGAAACTTGAGTGTTCAGAGCGCTTGATAGTCCTGCTAAGGTTCAGGTTTCATCTTGGTCTGTATTAAAATGACTACACGGGAGCTCAAACCATTTGGAAAGCTTAAGCTCTGGACAGACTGAGCTTTTGAGAAGCTGCTCCCATGGATGTCTGACCATCTGAGCCTTTGGCAACATCTTAAAAGTCTGCACATCCCTGCAAAAAAAAAAAAAATTGCGTGCATCTTGCAACAGGTAAAATGCTGCTGCTGCTGCTTTTATGGCATCTGAAGCAAAGGGAGCTGAGTCGCTTTGGTCCTCTCTGAGGTCTCATGGTTTTGGGGGTGCCTTGGGTCTCCTTACTCAAAGAAGGTGGAGTGAAGGAGACCTGGGCAGGTTTCTTTCTGTCTCTATATTTCTTACCTGATCTTGAAGTCTTCAACAGCATCCTGCATCGCCTTCAGCTCTGAGCTGAGCCGCAGCCTGTCCCCTCCCAGGGTGTCGAGCTGCCTCCTCATGTTGCTGATGTACGCATCAAACATAGGTTCAAGGTTGCTTTTCACAATTTTTTGGTCTCTCAGGAGGCTCCATTTGGTCTCCAGTACTTTATTTTGTTGCTCCAGGAACCGCACCTGAAACCCATGAGAACAATTGAAATCATTTGAGGGTATCAGCTCAAAATCTGCCTCAACTTTTATGAGATGGGGGCTTTGATGGGAAGGTTTTTTCGGTTTTCTTTTATGTAAAGTGGGCTTTATGTGGATATGTCATCAAAAGATCACCATTTGGAACATTTGGAAACCAGAAACAATATTTAACTGCAAAGAAATCTGGAAGACTATTTTGTGCTGCACCCAGACTGTCTCTAGAGCTCTGGAAAATGAGCTTTATGGACAATCTGGGAATGAAGGTGACAAGCTGAACAAAAACCTTAACTCTGTGTACTAAGGATTTGGAAATAAATTTATAACGTTGAGACCAACCGTGATCCAACTGTACAGGCAATGACAAACACGTCAGGCTGGATGAAGCCGAACGCATCTTACCTTGTCGATGAAGGAGGCGAATTTGTTGTTGAGGGATTTGATCTGATCCTTCTCCTCCTGCCGCACTCTCTGCATGGTGGGGTCAATCTCCAAGTTAAGAGGTACCAAGAGGTGTTGGTTGACCGTGACCTCGTGAATACGTCCAGGGCCACATCCTTCTCCAAACCCAGCTCCACCAACTCTATATGCCACCCCACCATGACCTGACCCATAACTGTGTCCCATTCTAGCAGAACAATACCCTCCACTCATGGAAATCCTCTTGCTCGCCCCTAGGTTGTGGAGGCTCCTGCTGCCAAAGCCACCACTGATCCGTCCCACACCTCCACCGCTGCTGCGAGACGTGGACATGGAGCTGAAGCTGCTTTGGTTGACAGGCATAACGGCAGAAGAGGAGCTGAAACTTTCAGCGAGTCCTCCTCACCGAACGCTGACTGGCTTCTCTGCAGTCGTTTGCCAGTGGCAAAGGGCAACGAGGTGAGATGGTGGATGAGTAGAAATCTTTGGGAGTTTGGGTGAGGAGTCCCCTCTGCCTTTTATCCGTTTGGAGGGCTGGGCTTGTCCACAAAGGACCGCAGCTCAGTTGACTGAGCTCATCCGTTGGGTATGCTGGCATGTGGCCACCTCTCCCAACCCGTTAATCACGAGGCTCGCTAATGCGGTGGGCTGGCAACCTTCGGGCTCATAAACCAAAATTTTCTAACCTGTGTTTTTCAGAGTGGGGATTAGTGATGGGAATTAAAAAAAAAATATTAAAAAAAATACATCCAGAAGTTCCCTTGGGGCTTGCTTTTAACTTGGTGTCAGTACCTGTCTAATATAAAGCTGATGGAACTGAAGTTGCCGCAAGAGGAAATCTGGAGATGTTGAAAGTGCCAGTTTGATGTGCTTTGCTAAAGAAGAAAAACTGAATTTGCCTCCCAGATTGTCAACTATCTCTAGGGTAGGAGCAACCTGTGCCACTCTGGGTGAGATATCAGATGTCTTGGTCTGCGCTCCTCATCTTTGCAGGCAATGCTTGACTTGCACAGAGGTATTTCTGGTAAAGATGAGAACTTAGGAGGCACCCACGTCTTTCTGATGGCTGCAAAGGGAGCCTGGGTGCTTCGCTTAGCCGAAATGTCGAGTGGTGGGATAGGTGAAAGCACCTGGTCCCTCAGAGAGAAAACTTGTAAAAGTCCAGGTTGTCAGATGTCTTTGATGTGGCGCAGTGTTGAACAACCCCAAAGCCAGTTCTGCTGATGTCAGTGGAAGTATGGTCACCAGACAAAGAAGGGCCGGTGTGGAAGAGGACGAGTCATTTCCCTTCCAGTCACCTGTTACTGTGCTGAAATCTAAAGGGTTAGTGAAAATCTGGCATTTATTATAGTGCCTTTTCTCTAGGCTGGGAGTCAGCATGTGTTTGGTGTGCGTCACGTTTGCCTCTGGTGCTTTCGTCTTTCTGCTGGGTTGTGTCAGAGACTGAACCAGCACAATCTGCTGTGGTAATCTCAGGGGTTTTTTAGTTCTTCTTCTCTTAACATGAACTTTGGTGCTTTTGTAGTTTGTGTCTTGTTACTGCTGTTCAGGAGATCAGAGAAGAGGAACTAAACCTTCCTTACCCTCAGGGTCTTTATCTCACAGCCTATTTCTGGGGACATTATTCTTCCTCAAGAGAGTGAGTTTGGGGGTTTAATGGGTCTTTTCCATTGCTAATTACGGTAATGGCAGTGATGGCATTTTATTAGCCCCTGCAGCTAGTGCATGTACGGAACAGCGTGAGCTTGAAGTGCTTTCTTGGGAAAAACTAGATTTATATGCCTACATGACTCATAACATAAGCCCCAGTAATCTTTCAAGGTTTTGGACGTTATTAAGGTGGCATGAAAATGCTGAGATGGCGAAATGTAGAAATTAAGTTAGAAGGATGTTTTCTCTAGTGCCTACTTGGAAAAGGAGATATTCTCCCATCCTGTGGAAGATACTGATGCTAAAAACCCTTGCTCACACGAGTGGGAATGGAACATCCGACTGTTCATCCTGTTGGATGTAAGTGTCCGTGGAGTTGCCAGGAGGGCAGAGAAAGGAAAGGTCTCAGCCCGTGTGTGTGTGTGACTTGTTTGCCTTCAGCTTTGCTCTGCTATGTCAACCATGCTCTTCCCCAAGGTCCTCTAAAGTAATTGGAATTAAAAGACGGATGATACAGAATTAATTTCATGTGCATTTTATTAGACAAACACTAGGAAGTGAGGATTTCCGAGAGTCAAAGAACAAACAGGAGAGTGGCGTGTTTCCTATAAATAAAGCCAGGAAGCTTTGACTTCCAAAGCTTTTGCGAGTAACACGGTGAGGTTTGCACAAAATAACGAGAGGAAACGTGGCACAGCAGTGCTGATGCCTGAATTTAGTAACACCCCTTGGTGGAAGAGATGGTGGAGATGTACTTCGTGCTGGAACTGCTTCCACCGACCACGCACGACCCGGATGTGCCTTGTCCACTTCCAGAGCTGAAGCCCATTCCTCCAGCACAGACCTCACCAGCAACGCTGGCGCCTCCGAAGCCAAGACAGTTTCCACTTCCATAGCCTGTTCCTACAGCAGTTCTGGTCACGGCTGGAAGAGGAAAACACCCTTTTTAGAGGCATCCATGAACAGTGGGCTCTGAGCGGCAGGGAGACAAACATAAAATCTGCCAAACTATTTTAAAAAGTCACTTACAGATATTCACTGTGCTGGCACCTTCTCCAGAGAGCCTGTTAGGGAGCAAAACAAGCCAGTGAGAATTCAAGGGGAACCCATGAGCAGGAGCTGCTTGAAAAGGCTGGAGAACTTCTTTGTCACGTTTTTGGTGGAAGTTGGAAAGTTTGCGCAAAAGGCTACCGTCTTCCAAATAGCTCACCCTCATGGGCAATGGTTTGCCTTTAAAGGGCTTCAGGTCGTCGGCATGTGGGAGGTCTAAGCCTTACAAGGGTTTGTGCCTCCATCGCACCTCTGGAAAATGGGATATAAAATTGCTCCCACCTGCACTCCTCGCCCTCCAGGAGCTTCCTGTAGGTCGCGATCTCGATGTCCAGGGCCAGCTTGACGTTCATCAGCTCCTGGTACTCGCGGAGCTGCAGGGCCAGCTCTGCCTTGGCTTTCTGCAGGGCTGTCTCCAGCTCGGCCAGTTTGGCCCTGGCATCTTTGACGGCCATCTCCCCACGCTGCTCAGCATCCGCGATGGCTGTCTGCAAACTGGTGCACTATGGAGGAGAAATAGTGGTTGCGTTCCTTACATAGAGCCTAGAGGTCATGATGCCTGGTCTGGATGCAGAAGACTTTGGGTTAACGTCTATAGGTGTGATTTTAGCGATCATTGAATTGACCCATGTCCTGAAGTGGGTCACAACCTGGCTTTAATTTAACTCCACGCCACTTAACATCTCCCCAGGTTTCCTAATATTGCATTAAGTTACTCTTGGTGATGTTACTGCACTGTGATAAATGCAGTCATGTTCCTTCCTGCTCCAGCAGAGTGAGTTCTCATTACTGAGATGATGCATCTCAGTGAGCTGAGATGCCTTGGTTTTTATTCCCTGGAGTTGCCTGGACAGCCAAGAGGTTAGACCAGAGCAAGAGTTAAGTCTTAATGTGTTTATGCTGCCCTTTACCTGTTTCTTCACGCTGTCAATCTCAGACCGCAGTCGCTGGACGTGGCGATTGAGCTCGGAGATCTCCTGCTTGGTGCTACGGAGGTCGTCCCCGTGCCTGCCTGCCGTAGCCTGCAGCTCTTCGTACTGTCACAGAGAGAGGAATGACCAGTTAGGGTCAAACAGATGGTGTTTAGAGCCAAGCAGAATGTGGGCGTGTGGGCATTTGTGCTCAGAACATGTCAATCCCTCGTTAGTGCTTCCAATCTTTGCAGGATTATTAAATCTGAAGACACCCTGTACTATAAAATTCACAGCGGGACTGACCTCCCCGTGGGGATTGGTGTTGGGGGAGGTGGTTTTCCCATCACAGAAGCCTTCCTTAGGCACTCACCTTGCTCTGGTACCAAGCCTCAGCCTCTGCCCGGCTCCGGTTGGCGATGTCCTCGTACTGCGCCTTGACCTCCGCAATGATGCTGTCCATGTCCAGGCTGCGGTTGTTGTCCATGGTGAGGATGACAGAGGTGTCGGAGATCTGGGTCTGCATCTGAGACAGCTCCTGGGGAAGCAGCAGGCATTTTAGTGAGTCGCAAGCGTGAGACACGAAATGTTCCTCAGTGGGAGGAAACCCTCCAAGTCAAAGGGTAGACCCAGGTGGATGAAGTGATTTTAGTAAGACACTTTCAGGAAGGGTTAAGGCAGCAGGTGAAACAGAAAAAGCATTGAACTATTTAGTGCATGGGAGTGAAAAATAATCAGTCCCAGGCCTCTGAAGTGGGAAAGGAAGGCAAGGGTATTGGAACCTGGGAGAAGGATGTAAATGCTGGTGCTTACAGCTTCATAGAGGGCTCTGAGGAAATTGATCTCCTCCACAAGGGAGTCCAGCCTGGTTTGCAGCTCTGTCTTGTTTATGTAGGCAGCATCAACCTCCTAGAAGAGGAAACACATCACAGAAATGAAATGGGTTTTGGAGGAGCAGGGGAAAACTGGAGAACGTGTTTCTGGCTTGTGCGGGTCTGGGAGGCACAGCGTGCGTGCACCCACCTTCTTCAGGACCACAAACTCGTTCTCCACAGCTGTATGCTTGTTGATCTCCTCTTCGTATCTGTAGGATGGAAATGGAGAGCTGCTCTAGGCTTCCACAAAAGTTATTTCATATTTTCGGGACCAGCCTCTGTTTTTGTACCTACTCTTTCACACCTTGGTCTCTTAGCCCTATAATATTCTGCCTGTGCTTTTCAGCCATGGGGAAGTGAAGCTGAGTATGTCTCATCTTAAACTGGACCTTACTCTTTCCTTGTTGGATTGCACAGGTGCAGCAGAGAGTGGGCATCTGCCGCAGCCCACCCTGCTCTCCAGGCTGACCACAAGTGGAGGGACTTACTTGTTCTTGAAGTCCTCAGCAAGGCTTTGCACCTTGCTCAGCTCCCCTCCCAAGTTCTCCTTGTCTGCCAGCAAGCTGTTCAGCTGTCTCCTGAGGTTGTTGATGTAGGTCTCAAAGAGGGGCTCAATGTTGTTCCTGACTGTTTTGTTCCCCTGTTCTTGCAGAAGGGCCCACTTGGTCTCTAACACCTTGTTTTGTTGTTCAAGGAATCGGACCTGGGCAGAGAAAAGAGACGTGACTTTAGGATGGTTTTCCTTAGAGAGGCAAGGTAGAATCCTGCAAGGATTCACTTGCTGAAAGGTGGAAGCTCCCAGCTCTCGGGGAACACCTGACAATTTATACAAGCAAGCAAGCCTTGCACATCTGACATGAACATTCCTGTTTTCTTCTCAAACTCTGCTTCCTTACTTCCCATTTCACCATTTTCCCACTGTTTGCTGATCTCATCACAGCATTAGTGCAAGGGATGAATGGTCTCAAAGCTGGAATCCCTCAGGTTTTATTCCCAGGCTGCCAATGTCAGAAATTGCAGTTACATGAGCAGCAAATTCGCTGATAAAAATACAACTTGCCCTTGTTTGTGCTTCCCCACTGAAGAATCAACACAGCACAGCCAAGAAATCTTATGACTCACCTTGTCAATGAAGGAGGCAAATTTATTGTTGAGGGTTTGAATCTGATCCTTCTCATCTTTACGGATGCTCTGGATGTTGGGGTCAATCTCCAGGTTGAGAGGTTTCAGGAGGCTCTGGTTGACTGAGACTTCATGGATGCCCCCAGCTGGGACAACAGGGAATCCAGGGCCACCCATGACACCACCGAACCCGAAGGCACCACCAAAACCACAGGACATCCCAGTGCCAGCACCAAAACCTGCAGGTCCGTAGAAGCCACCACCTCTTCCAGCTAAGGAGATCCTCTTGCAACCACCAAGACTATAGAGGCTCCTGCTTCCAAAACCTCCAGCAAACCTTCCATACCCAGCGGCAGGACTGCAGCTTCCACCTTGGGGTGCAGAACGTAAGCAGAAGCTGGCGCTGCTGGCGTTGGGGATGAAGGCAGAAGCAGCGCTGAAGCCGGCTTTGCTCTGATTCCTCACAGCACACTGGCGAGACATGGCAGCTGGTGTGAGCGGGGTGGGAGCAGGGGAAAAGAATAAAGCAGCGAGGGAGTGGCTGGAGGCAGGAAGGTGAAGTTGCTCTCGCCAGGCTGGGACTGGCCCTTTTATACCCTCTCTAACTGGGGATGGGTCTGGCGTGGTGCTCATCTTACTGATTAACTGGGCTCGGCACACCCAGCAGCAAAGCAGACAGTGAGTTCACCACGAGCACAAGCACCTACGAAGGACTCACAAAGTGCAGGAGTTGCATTTTTCAGTGACGGTCATGATCCAGCTGTCGAAATATCTGAGAAAACACTAAATGCTGCCTGCTCAACTCCTGTTCACAGCCATCCCTCTCCCACTCCCTCCTTTCACCCCTGCAGTAGATGGTTCCTCGTGTTGGGCAAGCGCTCGCTCATCTCTGTTTCGTGGATGAATCAATCTGTTGCGTAAAGTCACGTTATTTCACGGTGCGGTGGTCTGAGGCTTGAGAAATCTGTTGTTGCGGGTCCTTGTTTTCCTACTGCTGTGGTTCTGTGGGGTGTCAGCACTTCAGGCCCCAACTCGCCAGGAATACTGGACTCTTGTTCTCAAGACAAGAGTCATTTAAACTGGAGCCGATACACATTGGGAGAAAGAGGTGATGGAGGAAAAGCTGGGGTGGTGATGGGACATTGGTGGAAGTCTCGGATCAGAAACCAGCTGGGCAGTGGGAAGTTTATTTTATGAATGGTGTTTCCAGATCTTTTCTTTCTGCGAAAATCGTCTACTCTTCATCCTGATTCAGACTGACAACGAATGATGAAATCGCAGAATATGACCAAGGAGGGAGTTACCGTTGTCTGTGACGGCACAAACTCTGAGTTAGCAATTTCTCAGGGCTTCACCTTTGCAGATTTTTTGAGCTGTTTCCTGACTCATGGGGTGACCTTGCCTCTACATGGTGTGAAGCCTGTTCCCAGGCTTCCCTCCCCACGCCTGTTGTCTTTCCCCCTCTGATATCTCTTACTCACCAGAAAATTCAGAGCTTGGGATCTATGCTTACGACATTGTCCACAGACAACTGCCTTGACTCTTATTCCACGTAACACCCAGGAAAACTCAAATAGCACGCTTCTCCGGTGGAAGACACTCAGTGCCTCAACTTGCCTGCCGGGGTAGCACAGCACACGGGGGCTCTTATCCTAGAGCAGGTGGTGAAGACACTTTAAAGTTGCTCCTACTGTCTTGTCCAGATGTCCAGAGGTGGAAACGCTTCTCTCAGACCCTGCAGCCCTTTGGGCTTGCCGAGATATGGCTTTCCTGTGGAAGTCCCTGCTCAGGGTGGACACCTTGAGCCATCATCAGAGGAGGGAGCAGCCCAGGTGCAGAGCGCTGCTGAGGAGTTGCGGCTTTCCCCAGACGTTGTATGGAGCAGACGTTCATAGATGCATCTTTCAAGTGCGCTTTTGTGCTTGCCGTTTCACACGTGGAGGCTGGGCAGTCAAGTGAGTTTGACCAGAAGGTCCCAGGAAGGTAATTTGCAGATGCCTGTCATCTCTTTTTGCCTTTTGGCCATGCTTTTTTTCTTTTTTTTCCTCTCTGTTCTTCTGATGCTTTCGTTACACACCCTGAAAGGAAGCTAAAATAACTGTTCTGGGAGTGTTTCAGCTACTGTGCGTTACAACAAGCAGCAGTTTGTAAGAGAGCAGAGCTTCTGTGACTAAGCTACCGACTGCATGTCCTAAACAACTCTGTAAAAATGTTACAGGTAGCAATTAGCAGTCAGGTCCCCCCACGTGTTGCAAATTCAAGCTCCTGAGTGCAAGTGCCGTTATGACTAAGGTTTTAATCTGAGCTGTGCTAGAGTTAACGAGGGCTGTCCTTTCCCACTGAAATATAAGCCCCAGGTCATCGCTACGTCTGTTGAACTTCTCCAGCAGGACTGGATGCAGAGTGTTACACATGTGGTCCCTGTTCTGGGTTGAGGACAGTTGCACGTTGGTCACATATCCGGAGACGAGAGCCTGTGCCAGGGTGGGTTTTTTTGTACCTTGCTTAAAAAAGCGAAGCCCTGGGAGAAGAAAAGTTCTGGCCCCAGCCTTTCCCATGCTAGACAAAGGGCTTTGTAATCTCTGTAATCTATGACCCGGCCGTTGATGCAATGGATGGCATCAGTCCGACGTGCCTGTTGGCTGTGAGTTGTATCCTCTTTGGTTAGAGAGTGTGTTTGGGCAGCGGTGAGGAAAACCATTGCTTAACCTTGCCCGAGCTGCTCTTTGGGGCAAGGCCATTGCTCCTTGGGTGTTCAGCAGCTCTCAGTGGTGGAGCAGGAGTGGAGAGCAGCAGCAGCCCCATAACCAAGCCTGCCAGTTTTTGGGAAGGAGGCGAATGTGCAGAGTAATGGCTGGACTTGAAAGAAAACCCAAACACAGTGCCTATCCTTCAGGCACTGCCAACTCCCCCCTGTTTGCCCACATCTTGAAGTATTTTCCTATTTTTAGAGTGCCTCTCTACCCATTACTTCAACTTATTGAAATACATGGGAGAGGGTTGGGATTTTTTTTCTGATCACGTCTATTTGTTCAGCTGATCTTCCAGCAATGAGATCTGTCGCTCCGTAGCTTTCAGCAGTGTGATGCTCTGCTTTTACCTCTCAATTATTTTCTTTCGATTAGTCAGAACCACATCTAAAATTGCTACACCTCCTCTGGTTTCCCTCCACCTCCTCAAAATGAGATCTTGTCTCCAGTGTATTCTAGGGATGTGAAGAAACATTGGATCTTGGAGACTTCCACTTCCCAGCAGGCATTCCAGGTTTTGATATTTTGCGCCGCTACGGGCCGAGCGACACCTGCGTACATATCAACCATCTGCAATTCATCTCTCAGAGCAGTGTGTGAATGCTCGTCTATTTTTTGCAGCTGTTGGATGAGCGATGTCCAATTCAATGTAGCGTGTGGATGCGTATGGACTAGATCCTCCACCTGCTTACGCTTGGAGGGAACCAAGCTTTGAGAACCAAGATGAAGCCCTAAACCAGCGCGACCAGTGCTCTGAGCAGGAAGGGAGTGCTTTCAACCCTTTGCTGGCACCTACACTTCGATGAGACAGCTCGTGGTCAAAGGGCTTTCGAGATGGACTGATACACTTGAACAAGTCAGGTGGTTGCTCCAACGCCCCTTGTAATTAGTTCCCTATTGTTAGAAATTTTTTGCAGGTACATCAGACGCTTGGCGCTGCCCTCTGTACCCCCCAGGAGCAGGGCTGTTGGCTGGAAGCTGCGTAATAAATGAATCTTAAACCTTTTCCCCTGTGCCCGGCTCTTGCCTTGGCGTGCCCCGCGTTTAGCTTCCAGGGGTTTGACTCGCACGATGGGGAGAGCATTGAAACTGGCGGCGAACTTCCCTGCGTCATGCCACTGTGTTCTGTCCGCTAATGGAGAAACTTGGGAAATGTGAATCAAGAGAAAAAAAAAAGTAATCTGAGCCTTGAACTGGGCAAGGCCTTAGGGAAAGTGCTTGTTATTAGCATTTGCCGTTCTGTATCTTTTAATTAAAAGGGCCACAAAATAGAATAAATTACATATGCATTTTTATTAGACAAACACCAGAAAGTGGAGAGAGACAAACAGTCATGGGACATGTCTTTATATACAAAATCCGGCCAAAAAAATGCTGAGTTGTAACAAGCAAGCTGCAAATTTAAAACAGTCAGGCTCGTGCTCGATAGCAGAGCCCTACAGGATGCATGCGAGACGAGAGAGTTCCTAAAGTGAGGCTCCTGTGCGACAAGACATAGGGTTTAGGTGGCCCTCGTTCTGTTGACCCCAACCATGCTTTAGTAAAGGACCAATGTTAAGGTGTTTCCTGGCGAGTGAAAGCGTCTGCAAGGAAACCTTTAGCTTCTGTAACTTCTTCTGGTGGAGGAGGTTGAGACGAACTTCACGCTGGAGCTGCTGCCACCTCCCAGGGTGGTGCTGCTCACCCCGGGACCGCTCCCGCAGCCGAAGCTGTTGCCCACGTTGCAGATTCCCCCTCCCATGCTGAGGCTGCTTCCTCCTCCATATCCCGTTCCCACGGTCGTTCTGGTCACGGCTGCAAGAAGGAGAAGGAAAAACTTTCAATTTGTCTGGGTGTTGGCTTCTCGGTGGACATGGTTTCACGGTGGACGTGGCATTGTTGGGTTAATGGTTGGACTCAAGGATCTTAAGGGTATTTTCCAACCTAAACAATTCTACGGTGCTGAGACGCACTAATGCTTAAACAAGGTGATTGAATATATTTTAGAGACTTACAGATATTCACTGGGACGCCATCTCCAGCCAGCCTGTCAGGGGACAGAACACAACAAAGTAAGAGAATAATAAGTCTGTTGATGGTGGGAGGGGAAAAATGAGTAAATTTCCTAGAGACTTTTTGGGAGAGAAATAAAAACTTGGCATAACTTGGGGAGGCCTCCCACAATGTAGAGGCAATCTCATCCCCTCCCCACCCCCTAATTCCCTGTTTAGCATTTCAGAACTGCTGAGCATCCCCAGCACTCACTGGGACCAGATGGGTTGTGTTTCCCACCCACCTGCACTCCTCGCCCTCCAGCAGCTTCCTGTAGGTTGCAATCTCGATGTCCAGGGCCAGCTTGACGTTCATCAGCTCCTGGTACTCACGGAGCTGCCGGGCCAGGTCAGCCTTGGCTTGTTGCAAAGCATCTTCCAGCTCGGCCAGCTTGGCCTTGGCATCCTTGAGGGCCATCTCCCCACGTTCCTCAGCATCAGCAATGGCCGCTTTCAGGTTTGCACACTACAGAAGAGAAATCCCAAGTGAAATTCCCCGTACAAGACCTAGGCTTGTTCTTTATCTACCCTGAAATCACTGGGTCTTATTCCATTACCATTTTTACTGACAGTTCTCCTTTTGAGAGAAAAAAAAGCTCAAATTGAGCTGAACTTGCTTAGGTTATCTCTGATGCTTTCCCACCTCTCCCTTGCAAGTTAGGGGTGAAAATTCCTTAAAAGCATGGATTTTTCTGATTTATTA